CAGGTCATCTGGACAGTTTCTTTTCTTCTGCTGAAACGTTTCGCCTTCGATCCGGAAGGCTTCATCAGTCAAGGAAACACACAACAAAACTGATTCTTCCTCCAACAGCTTATGAAAACGTTTCAGCATGAAGAAAGAATCTGCGCCGACTGAACTAATGTTTAATAGTAAAAGGTGGGAGGTCCAAATGAACGTTTTTTTAATGTGGGGGGGACTTGTCCCCTTCACATATAATGGTTGTGATGCCTATGACACTACTACAAGCACTTTGCAGATGCTGGATGCTGCCAATTATGGTGCAATAAGATTCATAACTGGCTGTAACTACCGTACCCATCACTGCACCCTGTATTCACTGGTTAATTGGTTAACAATTTTCAGTCAGTTCATCTGTACAGTTTCTTTTTTTTTTTTTTCGTGCTGAAACATTTCACCTTTTCACCTTTCAGTTTTGTCTTGTGTGTTTCCTTGCCTGATGAAGCCTTCTGGATGGAAGGTGAAACGTTTCAGCACAAACAAAAGAGAAACTGTCCAGATGAACTACTTGGATTATTGAGCATGGATTTTGTTGGTCATCATTAACTTCACGCAGACTCTCCCACTGGTACATTTTCATCTTTAAATCACTTCTTGGTCTGCTGCCCTCATACATCTCCTCCTACATGTCTCTGCGTGAGTGCAGCTACAGCGTGCACTCTCACGACATTGTTACATGCAGTGTTCCCTCAGTGCGGACTGAACTAGGCAAAAGGGCCTTCTCCTATCTGCCCCTGTTTCCTGTAATATCTTGCAAAAAGATCTGAAGCTCTCGACCGTGACCTCTCTAAGTAGCTTTAAACATCTGCTAAGTTCCTGGCAAAAACCAATGCAGACATGTTCTGTTTTTAGTTTTCTACACCACCTTACAATCTAACTGGTTGTTCGCTACGTTTCATTTTAATTATCCTTTTAATTACCATTTTATTTTAATTTGTTAAAAAAAAAAAAAATTGTACGCATCCTTTATGATTGTCTATTGTTGTTTGTTGTCCGATGTTGTCATCACTCTTTGTTAAAGAAATCAGGTCTGTCTGGTAAATGAGTCCCCGAGGCTCAGTGGGACTAACCTGTAGAAATAAAAGTTGAATGATGAAATTAGGCTAATTTATTATCCAGTAGTGTAATAAAGCTTATAACAGCAGAACTAAGGGATAGCTCGGGAAACCCAAGCCAATCCTAACTATAGGATTTATCAAAAAGGAAACTCTTAAGCCCAGTCTTAAAACTAGACAATGTGTCAGTCTCATGGACAGAAACTCGAAGTTGGTTCCACAAGAGAGGAGCCTGATAACAAAGGTCTTCCTCCCGTTCTGCTTTTGGAAACTCTAGGAACCACAAGTAAGCCTGCAGTCTGAGAGTGAAGTGCTCTGTTAGGAAAATATTGAACTATAAGATCTCGAACATAATATGGAGCTAGGTTGTTGAGGGCTTTGTATAAGATTTTGAATTAAATTCTGAATTTGACAGGGAGCCATCGGAGAGAAGTTAAACTGGAGAGATATGATCTTGCCTACTAACTCCCATTAAGACTCGGGCAGCAGCATTTTGGATTAACAGAAGACTTTTTAAATAAGTATTTGGACACCAAGATAATAAACCATTGCAATAGTCCAGTCTAGACGTGCCAAATGCACGAACCTGTTTTTCTGCACTATTTTTAGACAAGATATTTCTAATCTTAGTAATGTTACGCAGGTGGAAGAAGGCGGTTCTAGTAATGTTTTTAATGTGGGGGTTAAAAGACATGTCCTGATCAAAAATAACACCAAGACTTTTAACATTAGAACTGGAGGTCAGAATAATGGCATCTAAAGAGGGCGAAAGACTGCAAGTTTTATTCCTAAAATGCTCAGGTCCAAAAACTAAAACCTCAGTCTTGACTGAGTTTAAAAACAGAAAATTAAGGCTTATCCAGGTATTTATGTTTTTAAGACATGCTTGTAGTCTAAGTACCTGATTGGATTGATTGAATTTCATGGACAAATATTACTGAGTATCATCAGCATAACAATGAAAATTTATCCCATGCTGATTAATAACTTTACCAAATGGATATTAAGATTCCACCTACCCAACTTTAAGACTCAGTAAGATCCCCAAGGGATACTGAGACCAAAAAAACCTATGAGGCTTTAAAGTCAACTACCCGTATTCATTTAAATGGTCTCTGTAGGATCAGTTTGTGTAATTCAATCAGGAAATCCTAATAACCTTGTGTGAAGATCTTATTTCTTACAGAATATAACTTCAATGTAACTTAACTACTAAACATTTGCCAAGGTGTGGCATATCAATATTCTTATTAGACAGCATGGTTATTGCAATTCACTTCAGTTTATTCATATAGCGCCAAGTCACATTTTGCACAGGTGTGCCTTAGGCTGACCACAATAGAAGGCCTCTCTGAAAAGCAGTTTTTTCACAGCACAATCCTACAGATGTCACAAGTTTTTACTTATCATATTGATCCTAAACTAAACCTGTTTTACCTCTACTAGATTTCTGCAGTCAATCCCCTCTCCTAAACTACTTTCTATACTATTTTCAGGTCTCTCTTGTAAATGAGTCCCCAAGGCTCAATGGGACTAACCTGTATAAATAAAGGTTGAATGAATGAATCATCTGTGGGAAAAATAAAAAGAAATTTCAGGCCTTATGTCCAACTCCTACATGTTATGGTGGTTTATTGATGAAAGATGCTGCAAAAGTATAATTAGGAATTGTGAACATGTTGGCCATGTGTGCTTGAGGACTTAATACAGCAATTTCAAGTGAGTAAACATGAAGGCTTGTTCCTATGCAGGGAGGACGACTAGTAGCACAAAAATATCTCTGCAATGCCAGGAGGCTGCATGCTTCTGGAAATGTGTTAAGAATAGACCTACAATGGTGCACACTCCTGTCTTCTGTTGTCTGAGGACAGACGGTTGTCTGCAGGGGACAGGCGAAGAGGTAACACTCTGACTTCAGACTATCAGAGCTGATTGGACTTTTCAGGGTGGATTTTAACCCATGCTCCATTTAGGAATGTCTGCCGTTCACCTGGAATGGTAATGTTAGACATTGTGATCCTCTGCAGGAAGAGCAGAAGTGAAAGTAGGATAATTGGATAACTATGAATTGAGGGGTTTTATCCATTCAGCCAACAGCGGGACAGGGAGACTTCAGAAGGCCTTGAGCAAAGTGAACATGGCTGGATCAAATGCCTCAGGCATCATATTTATCTCTGTCAGTCACAGCATCACCTTGATTGGTGAGTTAATATTTTATAATATATTTGCATGAAATACAGTTCACCAGCATAAGGTTATGAAAAGCAATTATAAAGAGGAATTAATCACCATAAGTGTTTGTTTGCTTTTAAACAGGAAAAGTGTGGCTTGTTGTGATGATCTTCCTCCGTATCCTGGTCCTCCTCCTTGCGGGTTATCCTCTCTACCAGGATGAGCAGGAGAGATTTGTATGTAACACAATTCAGCCCGGCTGCACCAACATGTGCTTCGATCTTTTTTCTCCCGTCTCGCTCTTCCGTTTTTGGCTGGTGCAGTTCGTCACCCTGAGCCTCCCGTTCATCATCTTTGTTGCCTATGTGGTCCACAAGGTGTCAAATATCCTCTCAGTGGCCCTGAACGCCACGGGTCATGCAGAAGCTTCTCACCTGTTTAACAAGACTAGTTTGAACAAGGTGGCTCTGGCGATTGAGCATCGAGGGGGGCCACAGTGCTTCACAGGAGCTTATTTCCTTCACCTGCTTTTCAGGACTTTGCTGGAGGTAGGGTTTGGGGCAGCTCACTACTACCTGTTTGGTTTTTATGTCCCTACAAGGTTTCTGTGCCAGCAGGCTCCATGCACCACCCAGGTGGACTGCTATGTCTCCAGGCCCACAGAGAAGACGGTGATGCTCAACTTCATGCTCGCCATGGCCACTCTGTCTCTTTTCCTCAACGTTGTGGATCTTATGTGTACCATCAAACACTCTGTGAGGCAGAAGACCCACAGGAAGATCATGGTGGAGAAAATATTTGAGGAAGAGCAGCACTTCCTTTCAGCTGAGGTGGCCTCGGCAGGGACAGATCCAAACACAGCACCTGCTCAAAAAGATGGAGGTGAACAGCCTGGGAAAACTGGGAGCTTCAGAAAGAGGCGTGGCAGCAGTTGTTCTTGCGAAGGAGGAAAACTTTGTTCAGATCAGGAGGCACCGTCCCACCTGTGCTCTCTTGGACCTACAAGCTGCAACAAGAATGATGACTACTCCCAAGAGGATGTTCTGGAGAGGAATGGCAGTGAGGTGGCTCTCTGTCCCCCAGAGCAAATTGGAACTCCAAGATCAATACGAATCAACAAACGCAGCAGACTAAAACCTCCACCTCCACCCAGACGGGAAACTGGATTATCCTCTGGAGAGTCAGGACCTCAAGTTGGGAGTTTCTCCACAGCAACAGCAGTCTGTAGCAGGAGGGTGGGTCAGTGTACGCTGGTAGAGCTGAGTGTAGCTCCAGAGCGGGGTAATGATGATGGGCAGGAGAAAAGATCAGAGTGGGTGTGAGTTAAAGATCCATTCTATTTAGTTCCAGGTTTTTTATATGGAAGAATGATCAAATAGATGTGGGAACTTTACAAGCACCATGTAAGGTGCATTTGGACAGTAGGGGACCAGTCCTAAGAAGATAAATCAGCATTAAAAGTAGTCACACAAGTGTACAAGATTTGTATACATACAATAAGATCCACAGGCATACCACAACACAAGTTTTACACATACAGTGTTTCCCCTACCATTACACAAGGAGGGTGCCCCGCACTGTCAACAGTACCATGCAACCTGCTACCGAACTGTCTCCCCCCCACCCCCGTCGACAACTGCCAACACTGACGTAGCGCTAACCTAGTGATGGTGTGCTATACAAACGTGCTAGCTAAAACACTGCAGAGGTAGCGCTCTGTCTCCCTCACAGCTGGGTGGTTTCCCTCTCACTCAACCCCCACCCCCACCCCCCGTCAACAACTGTCAGCACAAACAGTGCACAACACAGTCATGTGCCCATCTCATCTCATCATGGAAGAGATGAACGCTCTGCCAAGGCAAGTAATCTAAGGGAAACACTAGAATGTGTACTACAAGATTCTCAAATGCATAGTTCTTGTGAATAAATAATGGGGAAAATATTATTATTTTTATTGATAAATTTTCCACATAAAGATTTACCTACTCATTATAGGTAGTTTATCGTAATCATATAGTCCACAAAAATACAATTTCTTTGGACTCCATAATATCAATGCTGTCAGTGTCATTATCTTTATGAATCCAAAGCGGTGAGGACGTCTCAAATGTTACATTCACAGGCAAGCTGATTTGTGAGCATGTTGCCTGACCCATCCACAGCAGGTGATTTGTGCACGTGTATTTGACAATGTGTATGTGCAGAATATTCCTATTTGTGCAATTTGAATTGTGTACATTTGAAAAACTACATTTGTGAATCTTGTACGCTTGTGTAATTATTTTTTAGACTAATTTATCTTCATAGAGTTCAGTCTTTATAACTCAAAGAGTCAGTACTGTTGAAGTTTTTATGAACATGTTTAATTGCTCTTTTCAAAGAGAAGCAGCTTTCTTAGTTCAGTAGACTCTCAAATGATGCAAAAAGATGTGGGGTGTATAAACATATGTTGACTGAACGAGTAGTTTGATCGCTCTTCTAGCATCTGCACTATTAAAACTGCATTTTTGTTTTCAAAGCAGAAGTTTTGTAACGTTCTGCTATAGAAAATAAGATTTACCATAATTTTCGGACTATTGAGCGCACCAGATGTGCCCCCTAAATTAAAACAAATAAATAAATATGTAAATACAGTATATAGGCCACACTTGTCTATAAGCCACTGGTGTCCATGTTGTAGCCTGAGATATTTAAACAGAAATATTTTTTAAACTTTCAATTGAATACTGTAGTGTGGTAACACAAAGCTACTGAGAATGTCTTGATGCATGCTCAATAATCCAGGTAGAAAAATCCAAAAAAGTTAAATCTGGTCCTCTGGACATTCAAAAAAACAAAAGCAAAACAAAGCAAAAAAAAAATTCTAGAAACGTTTCGTCTCTCATCCAAGAGACTTCCTCAGTCTGAGGTGCTGTTTTCAGCTCAGTCTCTTAAATAGCACCTTCTTAGAGTGGATCAACCAGTTTGCTGCTGACAACCAAAACCAACTGATCACATGCTCAAGCAGGACCATCAGCCTAACAATGGGTCATTAGCACACTGATGGCTGTTTACTACTCACAGAGGGCTGAGTGATACTAGCAATCACAGCATTGTAAGAGGGGGACAGTTGAACCCGGAGGCCTCCACCCCTGTTTAATGATGGACGATTTCTTTTCACAAAGATGGCCTCCTTTACTCCTCTCTCAAACCATCGTTCCTCTCTGTCCAGGATGTGAACATCTTCATCCTTGAAAGAGTGACTGAGAATGATGTGCAGCTCTTGTTGTAGATCAAGAAACAACCACCAGGTGGAGTTTAGTAGCCTACCAGTAAGTCATTGATGCTATCTTCATCTCCCTCCTGTGCATTTCACCCCCCTCCTGGGGACACAACAGGGAGGGGAGGAGAGATCATTTAATTGGTTATTTTAAAAAAAAATTGTTACCATTTATTTATAGACGGATTATTTGTTTATCAACACGGCAGATGCGCGCAGCCGTAGTGCAGAAAGACCCGGTGTCTTGTGCGAAATTCTGTTCCCCTTTATTGAGAGGGCGCACAGAGGCGTCCATCTTCACAGCTCTTCTGATAGATTTCTTGGTATTAAAAACTATAAATACACTCGATGTCTTGGTGGCTGACTGATATTTGTCAGGCTAAAGTGAACATGACAAGTTGTATTAAAAAAAGATATTTTTCGCGCGGCGATTAAAACTCTGTGCGTGTTATTTTTGTTTTTTATTTTATACATTTTATTACATGATGTTGAAAAGGTGAATAGGTGCTGCTCATTCCATCTCAAGAGGAACCATGAATATTATTATGAAGTTCAGCTTCACAGCATGTGGCGTCCAGTCCTGCCACTTTGTGATTTGGACCCAGCAGGATACACTGGTGCAGCCAGAGATGATCAAATGATGAACACAGTCCTCCACATAGATGAACAGTCACTCATACAAAGTAATATTGTAAAAGAAAGAAGCTAAAAACAATCCACTTTGACACATAATTTATTATAACTTTTCCTGTTAACATTCAGTTTTAACTTTTTCTTTCAAATCACTGTGTGTAAGTTTAAAAAAAGAAATGGTTATTTTGTTGTTGATTTTTAATGACATTACTTATGTACAAACAAGAAATAAAAAGTTTTTGATGCATCCTTAACTCTTGAATACTTCAACAATAAATAAAATGGTAAATGGACTGTACTTATATAGTGCCTTTCTATCTTATTTCAAGATACTCAAAGCGCTTTACAATCTGTGCCTCATTTACCCATTCACACAACACTAGATCTCTACAAAGCTAATTAAACACATCACTCTAATGAGACTAATCAGAGCTTTAGATCACATTCATACACCGATGGGACACACATCAGAGGCTATGAGGGGTTCAATGTCTTTCCCAGGGACACTTCGTCATGTGACTGCTGGTGGATTCAAACCCCCAACTCTTGCATTGGAGGACGACTGCTTTAACCACTCAGCCACAGCCGCCCCAAGATATTTAGTTTATTTTCTAGGGACTATTCAGTCCCAAATGTTTGTTAACGCTGCACACACAATTACAATGTCATCTAAAAGATTAGAGGTTTCAAAGTCTGAGACATAACAGGGAGACAACTTCTCAAAATGTTGGAAATGTCACATTCAGTAACATTAAAACTGAACGTATTATCCTTATTGGTGAGCCCTAAACACAGTTTTCATGAGGATGGCCAGTATGGTCCATTGTTTGGACATCTGCTGGGGGGTTCATCCCTTCGTCTTTTTCTCTTGTAGCTGAGACACAGAAGAGATCAATCATTAGGTAGAGCAGGAAAGCATCACTTTACTTTGTTAAACACAGGTTTATTACAGCCTCAGTTCATGTCAGTATCCCTTTATTTACCGCTCCAATTTTCCGTTGCGGTCTTTGCCAGACTTTGTAGAGTAGGAGAAGATGGACGTGACAAAGTCAGGACTGTCGATGTCTTCAGAGGCCACTCCTATACAAATAAAGTTTATTCCAGTGACTGACGTTAATGAAAACAGCACACGGTTGGCCAGCGCTAACTGGCATAGCATGTGTTAGCACACAACTTTAAACATTAACAAGTTTCTGGGTGTCATCATTGATGAAAAACTGACATGGAAACCTCACATAAATAATTTAAGAACAAAACTAGCTAAATCTATTGCAGTACTGTACAAAGTAAGGGAGTTACTCAATGATAAAACACTGTTTATGTTGTATAATGCAATAATTGAAGTCTGGGGTAAAGCATGTAAAACAATTCCAAATCCTATTTTTATTTTACATAAAAGAGCTGTAAGAATTATCACTAGAAAATATTATAGTCATCCATCAAATACATTGTTTTTTCAGCTGAAAATATTAAAATTAAATGACTTGGTTGATTATAATAGTTTACTGTTTATGTATAAGGCTCACAAAAACATACTACCTTCAAATATCCAAGTAAATTTTGTTAAAAGGGAGAGTGGTTATTATCTCAAGGGGATGGAGATGTTTGTGAAGCGTTGGTTTCGTACCAGTTTGAAGGAGCGGTCTACTATAATTCAGGGAACAGGACTGGTCTGAAGGATGATGTTAAAACCGACACGTCTATGTACATATTTAAGAAAATGTTAAAAGTTAGTTTTCTGAAGGAATATGGTAAAGTATAATGTGGATCTATACAAATTGTTGTTTGAGTTGATGTTGTTTTTATTTAGCTTTGTTTTTTTGTAAATTACTTTTGTTTTGAATATATTCTGGGAATAAAGGGGCAGATCTAAGATTTATTCTTCTTCTGCTGCCTTTCATTTTATTTTTTGATTGTATTTTTTTGTTTTCTATTGTATATAGTTGTTTTGTTAAATTTCTAAATAAAAATAAATAAACAAATGATTAGCAACTCCACTCAGCATCACTGAACTAACATTTCTTAGCTTGTAAGCTAGGTGCACTCGTATCTGAGTGATCAGTTGTTCATATTTTTGTATATAGGACGCAATAACCAGCGATGCTTGTTAGCTAGGCAGCACTTACCTGATATGAAGTGCTCTCTGCAGATTGTTGCATTTTTAATCTGCTCGTTCCAGTCGCTTCTTCTGATGGCTTGCAATTAAAGACGTCTCCTGTTAGCCTTGAAAGGGGTGCGAGTTGAAGGAATTCTGTAAAACTTGCACATTTTATTGTTTTCATCGAAACGGTTGTTGCAACCTACAGCATAACAAGACATGATCGCTGTTTCTTTCTGAAACCAACATGCGCAGTATGTAACCCGGAAGTCATGTTGACTGATAATCCGTCTATACAGGTAGTCTCAGTGAGTCATGAGGACCCACTCCCA